GAGAGAGAGAGAGAGAGAGAGAGAGAGGGGAGAGGGTGTGTGTTGCTGTTTGTACGGAGGGCGTGTCTGTTGGTAAGTGAGGCTGAGGTGTTTGTGTGTCATTGTGTTGTTCCAAGGTGGAGACCAGGGTTCCCCTTCCTGTAAGTTGTTAGAGCTATGGGCAGATGAAGAATCCTCCACTATGGGAAATGCAACAACAAGAGAGACAGGGTGTGTTTGTATGTAGCTGTGGTGTCCTGTGTGGTGTGGCCACTGAAGTGAACCAGACAGCATTAAGTATTCAGGAGGGCAGGGTTTCCCTATGACAGCCTCCTTTGCTCCGCTGACTTCTGACTGACAGTCTCATCCCTCATATCTTTGGAAGGGCTTCATGGAAACACACGTGTGTGCGTGTGTGTTCTTGCATATAACTGATATGAAGATAGGATTGAGTTTCTCCTTTTGTCTTACTTTCCATATTAGCCAAGTTGCTTGATTTGTGGAATTCAGCCAGTGGTACTTGTGTATCAGTGGTTACACTTGTGTATGTGTGTGTTTGCATGGTTGTCTGTTTGATGGCTGCTATATGTATTCCAGGTACATAGAAGGGTATGATGTAATTAACTGAGAACAGACACGGGTATGCTGGGGAACATTTGGACTTCCCTGTGTTGTACCTGCACGTACCATGTTCACAGTGCTGAATGTGATGTTTCCAGATGCCACAGCAGATCTGGTTATTGTTAATAAAAAAAAAAAACAGAGCAGTGACTGTTTAGGATGTTTGGTGTAGTTTTGAGTATAGTATGAAGTAGATGTGCATCAGCTAAAAAAATAATAAAATAAATTATTACAAATATTCCAAGCAACCATTTAAAAAAAAAAAATGTTTTGTCATTATTTTGTATGTAACCCTAACCCTTATGAAAATGATGTACAAAAAAGCTACATGGTAGCGGCATGCCGTTGCTTACATTTTATGTAAAGTTGTACTGTACATTAGCCTAATATTTCATTCTTCAAGGAAAAATATTAATATGAACAAATTCTGAAATAAATATCCAATTTGACAATGTCATTCATTAAAATAATGTTTTGAATTGAAAACATAAATGTTCCAGCCTTATATGTGTTTGGCTCAGATTGTGTATTCACTCTTTGGTTTCGTCGGACTGAACATTTTCTGCCATAAGCTCACCATTTTAGCTTTTATTATTGACATCTGATATATTATTGGATTAAATAAAATGCAATGTTATTAACAAGTCCATTATACTTTCTCTCCTCTAGTTCCCAGAGTGCGGCTTCTATGGCATTTATGACAAGATTTTGCTGTTCAAGCATGACACAACCACCAACAACATCCTGCAATTGGTTAACGGTGCCACTGACATTCAGGAGGGAGACCTTGTGGAGGTGGTGCTCTCCGGTAAGTCACCAGCTCTCTCCTCTTTTCTCTGTTATCTCCCTTTTATTACTGGTGTTGCTCTGCACCACAACTCCTGAAATCAGTCCTTATCTTCTTACTTTACTACAGGTAATATCTTACACTTGGCTACTCTAGTAGTACAACTACTTCTTTTGTTTCAAGCTCTAATGCTCCGCTGTCAGGAAGAAAACCCTTTTTTCTTCCCTATCCTGTTTCCATCTTACGCCGTACACCTGGTTTCTCTTTTAGCGGCAGCCACGTTTGAAGATTTCCAGATTCGGCCCCATGCACTCAATGTGCACTCGTACCGGGCCCCGGCCTTCTGTGATCACTGTGGAGAGATGCTGTTTGGACTGGTCAGACAAGGGCTCAAGTGTGACGGTGAGGAAAGTAGAGAGATGGAAGTGTGAATAAGAAAAAGATGATGTCGTCCACAAGTTTCTCTGAGAAATGAATTGTAACACTCACCAAATATTCTCCACCTTCTCCACTCTTCTGCTCTGTTGGTCCATGCCGCCCCCTGCAGGATGTGGACTTAACTACCACAAGCGCTGTGCATTCAGCATCCCAAACAACTGCAGTGGAGCTCGCAAACGCCGTTTGTCCACAACCTCCCTGAGCAGCAGCCAGTCCCTGCGTCTCTCTACCACTGACTCAGTGTACAGTTTAGGGACGGCCTCCACCTGCGCAGAGGACACCAGCCTCGTTCGCTCACACACACAAATGGTACTGGTGGATTAATGCACACAATGCCCTGTTTAGGTCTAAACTATTAAAGTTAAAGAGCCTCTCCACTCGACAACATTTATTTGACCACATCTAACAGCTTTCCTTTGGTTATGTTGTTGTCACAAATTGGGTAAAGCCAGTTTAACTCTTTTTGTCACTTATTTAGAAGGTTTTAGGTTAAGACTGTAACCAATTATGTGATGGACTCCTTATTTTGTGATGGCAGTGAAACCACTGCTAACTTCCCAGAAGCAATATTCTGGTTGCTCAGAATAATACCCAGACTTTCCTTCCCAAACAACCTCCCCTGGAACTTCTTTCTAGCAAAGGTATACGAGGTGTTAAGATGGATGCCTCGAAAACCTCTGCAAAATCAAATGAAAACTGCCTGCATGACTGCATTCTACTAGAATTTTAACACTTAAAGTACAATGATCAGCTCAATCAAGAAGAAAAAAAACAATATAAGCAATTTACTAATTGATAGGGGCCCTATTAATCTATTGTAATTAAAGAAGAGAAAGGGAACTATTTAGAGAGGAAACATGAGCTGCTATCAATATGTTTATACTAACAATGTATCGAATGACAATGTAAAAAGGGCTTGCATGCATTGATTCATTTACAGAGAATTATCACCATAATCTGCCGCTCCTCTCGGATTTACGGAGCATTTTACTAAGTTTTAGCTCATGGCTTGCTTTCCGGCCCGCAACTTTACTGTTTTGGTTCACTACGACCGCTCTTGGTGTCGTCCTTAACTGCTGCATGCAGCTGCTTTTAGTGAACAAGCTCTAAAAACCCGCTGTACTCTGCACCAAACAGCAGACAGACACAGGAACATAGTGGAGCATTTATCACTTATAAAGAGTTGATAAAGACCAAAAGCTTAACAAAAAGAGAGTAAAATATTACACTTACAATCGTCATAATCCGTAACCGCTATAAAGATTGGACTTTTTTTTTAAATAAAATAATTATTTAGTAAGTACTTGCTGCCAAAAGTAGATAAGTGTCCTTACACAAGATGTAATTGATGATCTTTGTTTCCTTTCTATTCCACTAGCCACGGACCCCTAGTGACGCCCGGCGCTTCTACACAGGCCGACCAGTTCATTTAGACAAGATCCTGATGAGCAAGGTTAAGGTGCCGCACACGTTCGCTGTCCACTCGTACACGCGACCGACGGTGTGTCAGTACTGCAAGAGGCTTCTCCGAGGTCTGTTCAGGCAGGGCCTACAGTGCAAAGGTGAGTACAGACAAAGAGAGAGACTTATTTCCAGGGTGATGCAGAATATTAACTAAATCTATTATATGTAATATAATCAAAATGTGTTTTATTTCTCTCAGACTGCAAGTTTAACTGCCATAAACGCTGTGTGTACAAGGTTCCTAATGACTGCCTCGGGGAGACAATTGGAGGTGAGGGAACATAAAAATATATCACCATTCAAATGTCTTTATGACTCTGTTAACCCTCCATGGATTTGATGAAAGTATTTCATTTGTATCTGCATGTTTCCATTGGCATAACTAGGTCACTTTAATAACCATACATGATGCATTATCTAACGAGACTGAAACTCACTGGCACTCATGTTTTTATCTTCTCAGAAAACAGAAGTAACTGCGGTAAGTATCACCGGTACTCCGTATTGATGCATGTACAGCTGTAGTCTTCTTATAGAGGTCGTAGTTGCAGTCATAGTGGTAGCAAGCATTTTAAACTCATACTCACTTTAAATCAAGTTACCCTAAACCCCTTCGCTCCTCTTCTTTCGCCCCAGATTTGTTGAGTCCCAGTGCTGACCCTGAGGTGCCCATGGACTACAGCAGTGAGTACGACGCCTCAGACAAGTCTTCAATAGATGACTCAGACGAGGCCTGCAGCATCCCTGGGTCCTTTTCTCCTGACAACAACCAGGGCGGAACCAGCGGAGACCAGAGGTATGAGGAAAACCAAAAAAACGGTGCACACAGAGACTAAAACATGCATTTTACCTACCGAGTTCTGTCCTTCTTCTTCTAGTGTTTACATCCCGTTAATGAGGGTGGTGCAGTCGGTGAGACAGACAACCCGTCGATCCAGTACGGCTATTAAGGAAGGATGGATGGTTCACTACAGCAATAAGGACACACTGGTAAAAACATTACCCATAACTCCCATGCTATCCCCTATAAACCAGTTCCCCTGAATAGTACCTCTGTCATTATGCAGAGGGCTGAACATACAGATTTAAGTCAATTTATTCTAGATGCACTTTCCTTTCTATGATTTACTGCAGAAAGTTTGTTTTGTTTACTTTCCACTCACTCACTCAGGCTTAAAGGACCTGCTTGTCATCAGTCAATTTTCTCTATTCGCTCCTCGCTCAACAGTTTAGATCCTTGATCATTCGGCTTTCTGTACTCTATTACTTCCTTTTTCTTTTATATTTGTGTGTGCATCTGAGCGTGTGTGTGCATGTGTATGGAAGAAAAAATTGATTGATGATGATGATGAGTCTCCCTGAAAACATAAGAGCACTCAGCATATGTGTGGTGAATTAATCCTAAAAGCTTTAAAAGTTTTCTGCCTTTTCTTTTACCTAATGTACTCTCTATATTTGACCTCAAGGCAACCTTGCTGCCTCTCTAGTCTTGTTCTTACTTGCTTTTCTTCTCTGGCTTTACTAACACCCTCCTTTTCTTTCTCTCATTTTTGTCTCCTTTCTCTTTGTTTCCACCGTCTCATCTAGCAGCTTGTGCTCCTGCTCGTCCTTGTTCACATCTGGCCACTCTTCTCTTCCTCTGACGTCAGGGCCAAACTTGAAATGCATTCGTATTGATCCCTGAACTTTCTCCATCCCATCCCTCAATGTCCTTTCTTACCTCCGTTGCCCCCACCTCATCCCACCCTACTCCAACCCCCAACAGAGAAAGAGGCACTTTTGGCGTCTGGACTGTAAATGCATCATCCTTTTCCAGAACAACACAACCAACAAATACTACAAGGTAAATATAGTTCATTCCATGAAAAGATATAATCTCAAGTTATTTATTCCAAGTGTGCAACCTCACTGGCCGTCCTTCTTGCAGGAGATCCCTCTGTCCGAGATCCTGGAGGTGCGTCCTGCCGGCAACTTCACTCTCGTCCCCGCAGGAACAAATCCTCACTGCTTCGAGCTCATCACAGGCACTCTGTGCTACTTTGTAGGGGAGGACCCCAACGCCCTCCCCACTCCGTCCCCCAGCAACCCCCAGGCTCTCCCTCCCTCCCCCAGCCAAGTAGCACCTAACAGCGGCATCGGGCGCGAGGTGGCCAAGGTGTGGGTGAGCGTCATTCGCCAGGCTCTCATGCCAGTCATCTTTCAGGATGCACCACCAGCTGAGGGAAACACAACTCACAGTAAGTTGAGCACAGCCAAATGCAGTTCGTGCAGTTTTTGGTTTATTATATTTACTAAATGGCACATTTCAGCTTGAGATTTATGGATGGGCATGTGTGTCCAAGACATTGTTTGCTGTTCCCGTGTCACGAGCCAACTGGCTGCTCAAGAAACTGTGGACCAAATGTGAAAAAACAACTTGCCAACTCTAGTTGACTAACTGGAAGAGTCTGGTCTTTATCACGCTCTTAATGAAAAACACCTTGATGAAGGCCCGGTGCCAAAATGCATTGGTCAAATAAAGTTCATACGTTTCCAGTAAGCTCAATTGTTCTTTCACAAGTGAAGTATGTTGAGCTGAGGTTTAGCCAAGTTCTCCTTTTTTTTTAGCGCTGGAGAAAATACCATGAAATACATGTGAGGTATTAATACTTGACTGTGTAACCTTTTCACTGTTCCTGGTTCTGTATTTCCAGGACAAGCTTCTATCAGCATATCTGTGTCCAACAGTCAAATTCAAGAAAATGTGGTATGACTTTTAGAACATTTTTTTTTAGCAATTTCATTCAATCTTTAGATGAATTATGCATGATGAGATGAATGTGTGAAAATGTTTTGCTTTCCTACAGGATATTGGTACAGTGTACCAGATTTTTGCTGATGAAGTGCTGGGATCGGGGCAATTTGGAGTAGTGTATGGAGGTATGTACAGTAGATCTGATTGCTGTATTTTGTGAAGGTCTAACTTAATAGGTTAAAGTGCTGTATAGGAAACAACTGTTTCTAAAGTTAAGAAACGGGATACAAGACAATACATCACAAATCCCTCAACCATAATACAATACTGATGCATGAGTGAGTATGGGTCTGTAACAGGGAACTCCAATTTCACACACTCTGCGTTCGACAATGTTAAATCAATGAAGTGTTATTTTATGTACATTGCAAACTCTGGATGACAGGGCCCAATATTCACATCTATGTGATGTTGAGTTCACAACCATATTTTTAATTTGATACTCCCATTTGTGCATCAGGAAAGCACAGGATTTCGGGCAGGGATATAGCTGTCAAAGTCATCGACAAGCTTCGCTTTCCCACCAAGCAGGAGAGCCAGCTGAGGAATGAGGTGGCCATACTGCAGGTAAACACACACTGTAGCTGTAAACGGGTATTATATATATATATATATATATATATATATATATATATATATATACTAATGCTGACAGCCAGGTGCTTTGCCATTTTTAAAAGGAAAGGAAAACCCCCACACTCAATAGTACTTATGGGTTTTTTAACAGGACAATAGTATCAAAGCACTAAGACAATCAGTGAGGAAAACATTAGCCTGGGCTCTGCAGTTTAACAATAGCCTGATTGAACATCTATAAAGATCAGAAAGGTCAGATTGCAAAGGTCAGAGTTATCTGATAGCTGCCTCCTAAAGTTGCAGCTTATGTTCCCAGTGATGAATCATCATCATCATCATATAAAATTATTATAAGAAGTGATTTCAGCTCGTCCACAGTCATTTGTAACACTTATTTTGTGTATGATATCTGCATTAGATGTTCTACTTAAAAATGAAGGGATAATTCAGTTGCCTTTTGAGAACACAATTTCTCAATCAATTGCAGTACTGAAAATCATGCTTCATTACTCATTTTATACTCTTTGCTTATCTTTTCTTGCCGTAGAGATATGGGAGAGTCCAAATTCAAATCAATTATTCATCAATCAAAAGCCTGCCAGAATATAGTCAAAACTACTGTCAAGAACAAACAAAAAGGCTGTTTGTTGAGTTAAAGGCTCCACAACTTATAGATTTACAACTGATTTATAAAGTCAAAAATAGAAAGTATCTAAGTTTCTGAAAGCCAGCATGTTTGAGAAAAAAAGGTTGAGATTAACGTTAACGTTTGGAAGAATTCCCTTTTTTTAAACTTATTGTTTGTGTAATCTCTTCCCCTGTTCACCACAAACTGCCATGCACTTCCTGTCTATCACACTGTTTACTCTGCTCATTCATTTTTCAAGCAAATCTGCACGTTTCCATATAATCCTGTATCCCCCTCATCTGTTCTGGTCCCTCTCTCAGAGTTTACGTCACCTGGGCATTGTGAACCTGGAGTGTATGTTTGAGACCCCGGAGAAAGTGTTTGTGGTGATGGAGAAGCTGCATGGTGACATGCTGGAGATGATCCTCTCCAGTGAGAAAGGCAGACTGCCTGAGAGGCTCACTAAGTTCCTCATCACACAGGTGTGTATGCACCCTAACGACGAAGGGATTTGTTGTGTGTGTCGATAAATGTCTGCCATGACATGGAATGTGTTACGGTTGCTGCATGATATACGTCATTTTGAAAGTTCTTTTTGTTGTTTTGCCGTTGTAGTTACGTCAAACTAATTCATATCCTGTTTTTGCGGTTGCGTTGTGTGTGTATGTATGTGTGCGCAGATTCTTGCAGCTCTGAGACATCTACACTTTAAGAATATCGTTCACTGTGATCTGAAACCTGAGAATGTGCTGCTTTCCTCTGCTGATCCCTTCCCCCAGGTACACACAAACACACACACAGTACACACACATTCTCATTTTGGATTTTACACTCTGCAATGAGTAATTCACAGCACTTGTATTGCGGCCGCTCAGACATGTTTCCTCACATCTATATATACACTGTTCTCAAATGCCTCTCTCTTAGTTCACCACTCCTCTCATTTTCCATTCTACCCAGGTGAAGTTGTGCGACTTTGGTTTTGCTCGTATCATCGGCGAAAAGTCTTTCCGACGCTCTGTAGTCGGCACTCCGGCCTACCTGGCTCCGGAGGTTCTGCTGAACCAGGGCTACAACCGCTCGCTGGACATGTGGTCGGTCGGCGTCATTATGTATGTCAGCCTGAGTGGGACATTCCCCTTTAATGAGGATGAAGAAATCAATGACCAGATCCACAATGCAGCCTTCATGTACCCTCCCAACCCCTGGAAACAGATCTCCAGTGATGGTAAACAATGAGGGGGAGGGACAAGAGGAGATAGTTTACACTTAGTTGCCACTTTATTAGGTACACTCTGCTACAACTAATTCAGTCTAATACAACAGCCCTGCAATACATCCTTCTTCGTGAAGGTTTTCATGTCAAGTTTCTGTTGAAACTGATTTAGAAAGATGTTGATTGAACTGTATGATCATGTTGGAGGATGTAGTTTATGGTGCTGTTAAACTGTATTGAGTTACACTGAGAGGTGTTTGTTTTAGTTTTTACGCCCTATTTATATCAATGAGGGTAGGCTGAATAACATCTAAACATACAGTTCAACAGCACCACAAACCACATCCTCCGGAAAAGCAATATCTCTCTCTGAGTGTGTATGAGGAAGGTTAACATGAACTGTCAAAGCAGGACAAACCTTTACAAATTCAAATAGATTTAGTAATAGAGCCCTGATGCATGTTAAGCCACTTACTGCAGAAACTCGGTTATTCTCTTCATCATGATGTCATCTATTTCCTGTTCATCGCATTTTATTTCTACCAAAACTACATTAAGAGATCAAATTGTTCAGATGAAGTTGCAATACAAAGACATCGTCTCTTTTTCTGTCACTATTCAATTTAACTTTATAGACCGATCCGTATACTTTTTGTGTTTCCAGCAACCGACTTGATCAACAACCTGCTGCAAGTTAAGATGAGGAAACGCTACAGCGTGGACAAGAGTCTCAGCCACGTATACTTGCAGGTAGCATATATAGAAACTACTCGTATGCACACACAAACATACACATTGTTTAATAAATGGTTTAGTCTCTCTGACACTTTTTATAACACTCTCTGCAACCATTATTCCCCAATTCAAAGTATAGCAAGGAGCACGTTTTCCAGATATGGTGCCTGCCAATCACCTGCACCTTTTTTTTGACTTCTGCAAACCCCTGAATATAATTTGTGGCCATTACAGAAATGGAAAATATAAACACCAGGAGCCTGCACTTACAACCAAGTGGTGAGACAGAAGCTCAAGGCTGATATTTGAGAACTTTATAGAGGACCATTTAGCTCAGGTCTTTAATGCGTACAGGTCATCTTTCTCTGTCGGGTTAAACCAGTCCACTGTTGTTGTTTTGGTGCAAGAACGTCCATGCATTAATAAAGCTTCAGTGTCAGGCAGTCAGACCAGTCGAGGGTTATCAAGTTCTTACTCACACACATACAGATGGATACACACACGCACTGTCTTAAGTGATTACCGGATGATGTGCTATAAACACATCAAAGCCCATTAAACTTGAATCTAATTTTAGGGTTCCTGAAACTGAAATTTCATCTGTTTATTCCCGTTTCTCATGTCTCAGGACTATCAGACGTGGTTGGATCTGCGGGAGCTGGAGAATAAACTCGGCGGCCGTTACCTCACCCATGAGAGTGATGACAGCCGCTGGCAAATGTTTGCCCGGGAACATACTCTGCCTTACCCTGCTCACCTTGTGCCTCCTCCTCCTCACCCCGCCTCTGATGACGAGGAGGGCGGGGAGGATGCAGATATGAAAGGCCTCACTGAAAGAGTCAGCATCCTCTGACGAGAGAGAGAGAGACAGAGGACTCAAGCTTATTTAGGAAGGAGGAAGGAAGTAGGGAGAGGGAGGGAGGATTGGGATGGTCGACCTAGAGCCTAACAGAGACAAGTTGTATGGTTTTAATGAGAATAGGGTCCAGCTGTCAAGACTTTCACAGCACAACATCTGTTTGGCAGCACTCAATTTTACAGCAAGAAATCCAATGTATCTCTTCAGGCAATGACTTCCTTTCTTTGCCTCTGCTGTTATTGGTCGTCTTTCATCTTTTGAATTGTTGGACAATTTTCATGGTGAAGACGGCTCGACTCTGTGCGGCTGACTTGGGCAGTTTTTACATCAAACTTCAAATTAGAATATCTTGCACAAATAAAGAGCGGCGTGTTCTTTTCCTCCAACCGCAAGATGCTTATCACTAAATGAAGCAGGAAATGCCCAATCTCCACAGGTGATAAAGAAGTAGTGTAGGTGTGTTTGTATTGAGGTGTTTTTCTAAACAAATAACGGTGACGATTGAAAATGAAACTGCCTCCCATTAAAAGAGAAGTACCATTTTGGTTTTGGTGTCATTTAATTGGACTGACAGGAATGACAGTCTCTTTTATGTCTTCAGTAAAGACCGGTTCAATCTCTTTCCGGTGACGAAAGACTTCCTCTGTGCTGGTAATTACTAATGTGCAGGCATGAAGTCAAACCCATTTACATTCACAAGTGCATCCCCATAATTGAATGTCCTGTGGTGAAAACTGGAGATATTGATCTGGTGGCAGCATATCCTGTGGTAATTACCACGAGCAATTTCAGCCACAATAGGCTCTTAGAAAAAAAACACGTGATTGAACATGTCATTTCGGTTTTAAATGAACTCAGCATTGAGCTGTCCATTACCTGAGTCGCCCACTCTCACCAATCAGTTATGTATTTAAATGGTGAAGAATAATATGTCCTCACAGTTGCGTGTACATAAGATTCAAATACTGCCAATGAAAGGTTTTTTTTATACACCTGAGCAGGTAAATGGATGCTTCGACAACACAGCTACTTGTTTACTGTTGTTGACAGCAGACCCCTCCCTATGATATAAGTGCATAAACAGACAGCTTGGATTACTGAACTACATTTTGGAGAGTGTATTTAGTTTGATTATTGACAGCCTGTCATGTCAATATGTTGCATGTCTCTGTGAAGTAGTAGAATTATCTAGATACAATAGAAAACATACTGTAGTGATGATGTTATACCCATGTGTAACCTGAAGTTTATGTAGTTGTCAAATGTGCGTAGACTATATACCATGTTTGAAAGGTCATACTAGCCTTGGTAATGGATAATACAAACCTTGAACAATATTCTTTTTTTTGTCTTGGATGTTTCATGTATTCATCCGTACATAACTGTCATCTACAAACAGAGAAAACACACAAAACTGATCACTCATGGATATGTGATGATGAGTCAATATTAACATGTTTAAGAAGGAAGGACCATTACTGTCGGTCAGGTTTAGGACCTCTTATTATGCAGAAATAAAATACAATGCTAGTCTGACAGACTGTTATTGTGTCCTTTACTGAAGAAGAGCAAATTATAACAGATATGTCAAATTTAATTGCTGTTTAAATGTACATACATTAGGGCCAATGCAAATGTTCAAGAATGCATGCAACATGGACTTTAGATATGATGGATTTATGTTTGCATTCGAGTAGACACAAAACTTCACTCGTATCCGTCGGAGGACAAAGAATTGATTTATTTTCTTTTACGCATATTACACCTCACAGACTGAGTGGCACTCAAGGACCCTGTGGCTATAGAGGCAAAGGGAGTGAATTGGTCTCCATTATGCGATGAGCGCACTTCAGCCAGCTACTCGGGAGGAAATACACCCTTATTTCCTCCTACACTACACCAATCATCATTGCCAAGTCCAACAACACAAAATGAAATAGTCTTTCTCTTTGTCTCCTGTTGTTTTTCTAAGTGTGGGCCGGTTTATCACTATCCCGTCAGCTACACCTCCACAAGCTTTGCCCTGGCCAAGTGGCAGTGGAGACCTAACATTTAATAAACAGAAGAGATCCAAACCTTGACATGTGTAAACATATAGCATGACTACTCGGATGAGAAAGTGTTCCATTTAACAAATTAGAACACTTCTTCTGTTCAATCTGAGCTTGAAAATGAGACTGAATTGCCATTTTGTTGAATAAATCTGAGGTGTGGATGTTGATTCAGAGCTCTAGAATTAGGTTAGTTCAACTGAGACATACAGTTAAAACTAACCTAATGTTAAAGAATATGACTGGTAATATTCAATGTCACTGTTATTCTCAACAAACCCCAGTAAAAGACTGTAATAAACATGTTCTGATTCATATAGGATACTATACTTCCCTATCCTTGCCCTCAACCCATTGAGTCACATACTGATGATCGGGTAAAGCAACAATAAATATGTCATCTGAGTTCATCACAGCACAAAACATTGTGGTGTTTTCAAACCCGAGCTAAATTTGAATGATTAAAAAAAAGCAGGCAATGGCACCAGATGTCGGCAGGTCAGGAGGATGAAGGCCGGGGAGAGAGAGTTGACAAGCGGTTCATCCCTGAATCCCAGATGTTTCAGAAAAAAGGTTGTTAAAACTGTGAGGGGATTGGTTGTGATCCTTTAGCTCTCCATCAAGGGAGCTCTTCACAAGATTAATCCACCTCGTCTTTGTGTCATCATTGTTGGATAACTTAAATATGGTGAGTGTGCTTTTTTGCATCCAGGGAATATGCATTGGCAGGAAGGCATAGCTAGCTAGATAACTGTAGGCCTTGGTAAGTACTGTGTTGTAACTCATGATTGAGCAGCAGAACCACTGACGCTACAGTCTTCTTTTTGATATAGTGTTAGGGGAGGGGTTGTGTAGGCCCGCCCAAAAAATCCTCAACTCAAAAATGGTGAAAGACAGTTTAACGGTCCAACTCCTCAATTCAGTACTAAATAATTCACAATAAGTCGTTTTTCTGCATGTTTTCAGCAATTATTTTGACGTGTATAATGTTTACAAACAAATCACTGATTATACTTTACTGGGACTTTAAATATTTAAAACGGTTTACAATATATATATATAGTTGTATTTATTTTTTAAAAGGCCAGTAAACCGCTTAAACCGCTGATCACTGTAGTTTTTAGCAAATGTTACTCAGAAAGCAATAAAGAGCACATTATTTGGGGACTATTTTCGGCAGCACATTTGGTGCTTTAGTGAGTACTTTACTTTAGTGAGCAGAAAGGTTTGTGTAAGTATCGACTTAAAATAATCTATGGTGGCCATGTTCAGTTTAATGAAGGAACATCTCACCTGGCACTCATTGATGGGTTTTGAAACGGAGTTTTATGGCATAATATATAAATAATAGTAAATAAACTATTTCCGGCTTTGGCTACGCAGGCAGTATACTTGTCAGTGCGGAATCAATTAATTTGTTGGTTTTGGTTGACAATAAGTATTTTTTTTAAATTTGTTTCCATTAAGTCAGCCAAGCTCAGTAATTCTGCTTCCTAAGATAACCATTAAACACTGTCAGTAACCACAGACAAAACAAAACCTTGTTAGCTCTGCAAATGTTTTTCTGTAATTGCGTAACATGATCACGATTGCACTTTTCTCATCAGCCATTATGAAAGCAGAACCATTGACCTGCAGTTTGGCCATCAAGTACATTAAACGGCTATGGGCCAGCTGCTGAGCTTGCCCTTGCAGTCAGGCATAATGCATTTTGAAAGAGAATAAATCAACAGTCTAAAACAATTTGCAAAATTGCAGAACATTTCCGGTTGTCAGACAGATGCAAAACCAAAAGGCACACCAGAACTCATCCCGCAGCACACCAGTCTCTCTTTACAAGAACTAAGCTCTAAAACTTTAGATTAAGAAGTTTAGGATAAAAAGACACTTTTATTGTTTTTATACAAATATTCTTTATCCTACACATTTACAAAAATACAGAAATAGACCAAGCAGGTACTTTAAAATCAACTTATAGGATGATTAATACTACTACTATTACTCCTAATTAATGTTTTGTGCAATAAAGACTTATAATGTTATAATGAAAAAAAGAGAAGATAAAAAAGGTACCTCCCATAAGGTCCACCATGTTAAAAACGTCTGCACACTGCACAACTCTTAAACATAGACCTATCACAAAAGTTCCACCTCATGTCAAAGCTTTCCTTTAAAGAGGAAGACGCAGCATAATGAGGTTACTGACCTGCTGGGATATGACTACAGTCTTGCTATAAAATGCTGTTACCTTCAAAAACAATGTCGTCAGACATTTGTGCAAGTTTAGTATTAAATAAACAAGCATACAAAATGACTTCATTTGCAATGCAATGTGTTATTGTGACATACTGTTGTAGCTCAGAATGGTTAATCAAAAGGTTGTAATTATAATGTATTATTATGCACATCATAACAAGCACGATATGCATATAGCAGGAGCACTTTAGATTACAGATATGCAGCACAGAGTTTATTGCAAACAATGTAATGTCTGCACTGCACAGTATATCATCCTAACAAGCTCCTGCTTCCTGAACTAAATAGTTTAGAGAGTCATGTGCAGTGCAGCAGACCGTCCTTCAAGTTGGAGCGTCAAAGCTACACAATGTAAAAGTAATTTTGCAACAATGAAGGTAAAAAAACTTTAAAATTTAAAGAATATAAGTTCACTTTTTTAAAAGTCTGAACACAATACTCACATACTCATATGTACATTCTGAGAGTTATTGGTTGCTGTAATATTTGTTTTCGCTCATGCTTGTTATGGGATCCCTTCCTAATGCAATTTCAGTGTAAGAGATGGAGGAAAACATCCAGAGTCCTCATTCTGTGCCAAATTATTCCCCTAAATGCAAGCTGAAGCTTAAATCCTTCAGCTGTCTGAGTCACACAAAACAAGTTATCTTTGAAAATGATAGTCTTTTCAGTCCAAACTTTCCTTCTTTTATAATCCTCTGCCACAGCTCAGTAGGGAAACATTGTCTAGTGAAGCAAAGTATTGGGGATTTCATTTTAAAAAGGCTGTAACTGCCAAGACGACTATATATTTTGTTGTAATTTTGTTCCATTAGAGACGTTAAGAAGGGACCTCTTCACTGGCAGTATAGGCTACGATTACAGCAACTGATAAGTCTTTCACTGTATGGCCTGTCAGTGATGTTTTGACATAGACTTCGTAGTGTGGCCCTATCCTTTAAAGTTAATGTTATTAAATTGCCTTTGGAAAAATAATGAAAGATCATAGGACAAAGTGAAACTTAGATTTAGTTTCATATAGTTCACACAAGTTGCTACAGGATTGTGTACACACTTGTTAGTGTGTTCCTGGGAAAATCCACGTTTTGAATCATGCCGTTTCCAGAAAGTGGGAGTTGATTTGCTACATTTCATATGTGTCTGGCAACTGACGACTTAATAAATGCTTTCAAAATGATAGATATGCTGTGACCACAGCCCTACTTTCTATTATTCAACTGTCAGCTGAACTTGTAAAGGTACACACACAAACACATTTACTGACATCCTCTTATTCGTTTTCATTCCAGAGACAGACACTGAAACTCTGACTTGGCCTCTATGAACGCAGAAGTAAAACCCAGAGATGTATAAGGGGTGTTGGAAAGCCCCTTTTAGAATATCTTCTCTTTCTAACCTTTCCCTTGCTGATATGTTTCTGTAGCGAACCTTAGGTATCCATTCTTGCTTACAGGAAAATACTCTACATTCACAGCTGGTGTAAATATTTACTCAGCACATTAACGGAGAGGCTGCAGGCTTCCTTCACATATTCTTTTCACAAACATAAAAAGAGCCCTGGATACAGCTCACGAGACGTAAATCAGACTCGGCTCACTTCCTGACTTCAAGCTTTTATGTGTTGAGCAGTAAAACGGTTAAAGTACTTCATTTTTCTTACACTAAGTAATAATAAAGGTGATCAGTCTAACTCTGCTCCAAAGGGTATTATCACTGTTCCAAAGTAAAGTGAAAATATCCTAATTATGATTCATATTTACACTGGTTACACTATGAAACAACTCCCATCAATGTGAAAGTTAAAGGTCACATCAGTAAGGTTTAGGTATGCAACATGGTATCTGGCTGTCTGCCTGCAGAGTTTCAACTTCCTTTAAATACATTGCTAACACGCAGTGATAGAAGACTCTTTTCACTTTGTCTCTCAGGGGTATGTCTGGTCCATCACAGCCTGGTGCTTCTCCCCACCCCTGAAACGTGCTTCCTCTGTGCACTTGTACAGAACCAAACCGCCCACCTCATACATGTGTCTTCCCCTTTTTGTACCTCGTCTCAACCCTTCCGCAGCCTTGCTGACATTTCTACTTTGGCTGTCAAAGGCAAGTCATCTCAACCGGAGCAACAAAACAAGCAGCTGTAGCTATTGTATACGCCGGTAATAATCTATTTTAGTAACCTTTCCAGAGTACCATGTGGGACTACAGTGGCTTGGCCGCATGTCAGCAGCTCTGAAGAGTCTTCTCTGAAGATCGTCCTCTAACCCTCCTGGACTGAACTCCGCCAAACTAGAAGCAGCTCTGGAATGTGTGGAAAATTTTTCACCCACTGGACAGCTTCTCTTTTGCAATCAAGACGTCTTACCAAAATTAACAGGTGAGGTCATTGATTACAGTTCTTGCAGTTGATTACAGATGTGAAATGTCTGGAAATTGTATTAGACTGTTACTAATATCAGTAACAGCAAAAATGTTAAAAATGTGAGATACTTTTAATGTTTTGCAAGTAGGGTGTTGAAGGTATTAAATTAGTTTGAAAACTCACTTTCTTTGCTAGTTTTATTCTCGTCCCGGTGGACTGTTTTCAGGGGAAGGATGGTATGCTCGAGGCTATGTGAGTCAGCGTGGCAGAAATAATTAGGCTAGAAATGTTTTCTGTGGCTCTCCCAACGGCGGTCATCTCACCAGGGTAGAGAGTGAAGTAGAGAACTGCTTGACAAGAAGAAATTGTGGAAAATAACAGAAATATACTGCACAGGTTGACTGTGATACCTTTGAAACACAGCTGTGGTATTTGGGAGGAAAGCTATAAAACATAAACAGTAAATCATATTGTTCTATTTTGCTTGGAAAAGGAGATTTGGTATGCAGCATATTCCCCCTCTTGAGAGAAGAGGCTGAAGGTTTGTTCTTTTAACGCCTCCCTGGTAACAAGGCTGTGTAATAACAACCAAGCTTAGTTCAGATTATAATACTAACAAACACATAGTTGGCTCTGATGGATGAAAGAATGGACCAGCTGTGTAAAGTAGGCTTACATTAGGAGTATCATAAAATAAAACCGACACAATATAAAAACCATGTCAAAACCACATCAAAAGATGAAATCGTGTTGGAAAAAGGAAAAAGAAAAAAAAACATATTGATCGTAAAAAGCAGAGGAAAGAATTTGAATAGCACACACTTCACGACCCATTGTTTGGTAAGAGGGGAATATTTGTGCACCCAGACTGATGACTAACCAACAGTCTGACATTTTTATCAGATTTATGAGCAAAACTTTCCCAGTCAGAACCCATTTCCACACGCATGCACACTCACATAGAAAGCCTCACACACACGTGCAACCACACGTTATCGCTCACTACACATGGTCTGACTCTAAATGGCTTCTCCATTATTGAGTTTGGATGGGACGGCCTATCTCTGTCCAGACGTTAATGGCATTAGATGCTTCCTGAACACACCAGGGCCAAGCCTAAGCGATAGAAAAGAAGGTAGAGAAGAAACAAATATCAGAGAATGCCACTGTGATTCAGACAAAAAGGCACAAAGACACAGAACACAGGGTTCATTTCCTAATGCTGAAATCTCAGAGAGAGGCAGGAAATTGACGGAATATAATCTACATATAAAACCTTCATGAAAGCAATTGAGTGCTCTTTACATAGAAAATAGCAACCACATGTTTCTGTAGGATATGATTCAAGGGCTCTACTCAAAGGAGAGACTGGTGACTTTGTTATTACTCATTTTTGGTTTTGGGCCTTTCTGTCCCATATCAGCACCAGCCACATTTTAAAAAGGAAGCGACACAGACTGATATCTAGGATGTGCCTGCCGTGAATCACACCCACAGCTCTGCAATGTACGACTGTGGCTATTGGAGAGCAGGGCCGTCCTTCAATCAGAGGATCGGTGGTTCGATCTCCGGCTCCGCTATTTGCATGTCAATGTGTCCTTGAGCAAGACACTTAACCCCAAAAATTGCTTCCGTAGCTGTGCGTACGGTGTACAAAGGTGATAGAATCTGAATTGTAACTTGCTTTGGATAAAAGCGTCTGCTAATTGACTGTAATGTACAGGGACTGATCGTACACCCACAATGTTAATCAAGGAAGGAAATAATTGACGAATGAAGATCACATTACTTATTCATGCCAGAGTAAACATTGAAATGCCTCTCGTACCGGGAAAATGGTTGAGCTACCCAGTTCTGCTGATGACTGTTACATCAAACATAAAACTGGAACATAAGTCAGTCTCTGTAAGGATATATTTAAATTAGCAATAACTGGTTGGGTCTGACTGTGGGTTTTTCCCCACACAGAGCTGAAGTTGTATTAAGCACTGATTGCAGTAAAATGCAAATGCTCACTTAGCGGGTTCAGTCTGTGGTGCCCCTGCCTTTCACGTAGATTTAGACCAGGCATGCAGGGCAATAAGTGAAACAATTTATAGACAGTCTAACAAAAAGCAGCATTAACATAAAAGGATGTAAACAGCTTGGAGCAGAGGTTTCAACATCTAATTTATCTGTTACAAAAGATTAGCTCCTCAATGTTCTCAGTTTCTGTAAAACAGAAAGTAAAAACAGGACATTTGGAAAAGAAATGCATGACATGTTTTCTCCATACTGAGCAGTTGAAGCAATAAGGAGGGGATTTTGACAATCTAAGTTTCTATTTGCACTGTGGGCTCCAACTGTTGTCGTTATCGGTGCATGACTAAACCTGTATCTTCCCTGGGGGTTCCCAAGCACCATATACTGTAAAGCTAAACTACCTCAAATTCAGAAACATCACAGGACAACCAAATGATTTCATCTCTTGTGCTCGTTGAACCACGAAATAGGCTGGGGGATAGAAAATGTCCACGCTATGAATTCTATGGTACCATAGGAGTTAGCTTGTGTTGCCTGTGTCAAACTGAGAAACTCTTAATGTAAAAAATTTTTTTTTTACAGGTGATTTTCTGACCAGGAAAGTGAAAGAAAATTACAGCAACGATGAGCGTCACAGTCACACCAATACTGAGAACCACAAACTCAACTGTGTGTGTTAGGATTGAGGAGAGTGCCATCAGTGACTTGCTGATGTCTGTTTACATCCTGGCTTTTATTTTTGGTTTGATCTTCAATGTGCTGACCCTGGGCCCCATTTGCAGACAAGTGCGGCAGCAAAATGTTCTGGGAATCTTCCTGCTCAACCTGTCCCTCTCCGACATGCTTTTCCTCTTCACTATGCCCCTTTGGATCAATTATTACCGGCAGGACCACCACTGGAAACTAGGTGTTATGTCCTGCAGTGTAGCTGGCTTCTTCTACTACTCCAACATGTACATCAGCATCTACCTGCTCTGCTGCATCTCCGTGGACCGCTGCCTGGTGGTCACCTACCCGCTCCGCTCCAAGACCCACAGATCATCACGCTATGCCTGGGCACAGTGTGCCACTGTTTATGTTGTTGTGATAGCGCTGCACATCATGGTACTGGTCAATGACAATCTCACTGATGCCCATGATGAGGTAAACAACAATGACCGCTGCTATGAGACTTACCCCATGGAGTCGCCCGTGGCCTTGTTCAACCTGGTCAGAGTGGGCCTCGGCTTCCTGCTACCCCTGCTGGTGCTGGCAGTCAGCTACTGGAGGGTGCTAGCCACTGTGGGCCAGAGTCCCGGCTTGAGCGCCCAGGCAAAGCGAAAGGTCCGCCTGCTGTCCTTTGGGGTGATTGGGATCTTCTCAATTTGCTTTGCTCCATATCACATTCTCCTGCTCATTCGCTCACTAGTCTTCTACAAGAGTAATACTGTAGAACCTCAAGGAAGTTACTGCCAGTTTGAACAAAACATGCACTTTTCATTTTCATGTACTCTGGCACTATCCAGTCTGAACTGCGTGGTGGACCCTGTGCTGTATGTGTTGGTCAGTAACGGAGTCCAGGAGGAGGTGAAACTGTGCTGGAGAAGGCAAAGGACACAGACAGACTGTGCTTTAACTAAATATGACAGAGGAAAGTCTAATACCAACTTAATATGAAACATAAGCTATGTGGGTGGATAAGTGCACCTGTGCATTTATATTCATATGTGTGTGTGTGTGTGTGTGTGTGTATTTGCATGTAAACTTATGGCCTCATTTTCAAAGTTAATGAGTAAGTAGCAGGGATATTTACGTCCCATAATCAACCCTTCGTGCAGACAATCAGACATCCTTTTAAAGAACCACATTTCTGCTTTGTTGTTTTCCTTCAATCATATCCTGCCCAGTAACGAATTGGAGGTTGAATAACACGCATCTCAGAGCTCTGTAATCAGATTGTATTCCCAGGTTCTGTTCTCCTAAGAGTTCTTAAGTGGCAGCCCTTTCTGCTTTGTGGCAACACCGCTGGAGCTGAAGTGCACTTGTGTTTTCCTTCCAATCTATACCAGGATGTTGTGATTGTGACTGTAGTTAAAGCATGCAAAAAATAAATGTATTATCATGAGCATCTGCCTTTATTGTCTAACCATCAGTGAAAAATGTTGACTGTAAAACCAAATGGTTTGAACAGGTGCTTGGCTAGTTGACTTTCAAAGAAAATGTGTGATGATCAATCTGTAGTTGGCATTATAATGATAAGCACATAGAAGCACTTAACGCCATTAAGGTTGATCATAAAGCTAAAAATAAATCATGCACAGCTGTGCGCTGCACAGGTCAAGTGGGCGAAGGAAGCGATCCGGAGATTCTTGTGTGTGTGTGTGAGGGTCTTAAGTTGGAAGGAGGGAGCAGGTGAATGGAGAACATTGAAGCAGTTATTGCTTTGTTTTATATTTTGCTCATTATAGTGCATCATTGTTTATAAAAAACATCGTCAAATAGGCACTTGACAAATATCCAGTGTGATCCCAGAGGTACATGAGGTTTGTACCATGTTCTCTTTTGTCAAAGCCTTTTATCTGTATACGGAGATTGGATATACAATATACAGCTATCTCTTGAAAATTACACTCCTCTACTACTAAAATGTTTTATCTAAATACAGTATGCTTCTGTGGAAATGTAACTGTTTGCCTGTCACATTGGCAATGTTTTTTTTCCAGTCCATGGTGACCGGATATTATAGGAAAACAATATGTTTGAAATGTATATGAAATATGCGAGTGAATAACATTTCATTAAAATGTTCCCTTATTGTGTTGGTAAAAATGTAATGGTGGCATGACTATCTCTCAAAACATTATTTAAGTAGGCAGAGTCGCATACAAGCTGATTGTTGCTCAGTGTTAAATAATTGAAGGGTAAGGCTGGTGATATTTTCCATTTTTCTTATTTTCAACAAATCTATTAAAAGGTCTAAGCCAATGAATTGATTCTATCTACCAGTACTGAAATCAAAGCCTGATATAACGTATTCCTCTGTGCCATACACCTGCATTGTTGTCCAAAAACTATAAATAGAAACATCATCAATGAACCACAAGTGCATGTTCCCTCATTATAGAGAACATGGGCACTGCACATAAATCAGCCTGCTGACAGAAATACTCACAAGAGTTCAGTATGTGTTATCCCTGGCTGAAAATAGTCCAACAACAAACCCGATTTTTACAAGATCTCCTGGTTGAGTAATGTTTGCGAGAAACTACAGTGCCACATGTTCTAGGACATTCATTTTTTTTTTTTACATATATATTTTTGTGACTTTTGAAGATTTACATCTTTAGCAGGAACTGATGGGATAAAGACAAATTAAGGGCTTTGGAAAGTATTTAGCAATGGACTAATGCACTGTTAGTTTTGGTCCTCTTATGCCACAACTAGTGAAGAATCAATAAAAAAATATGCCTACAAAGTCAACACACAGCAAAGAAATCGGATTGTTAAAAGATGACAGTTGGCATCAGCAACATTAGCTGGGGAGCTGGTCAGCTACACTGAGTACCTCAGTGGCTGCCAATTGGTATTTTGGCATTTTTGAGTGGGCTGGTTGGGTTTGTTGATGGACAATCTGCTCTGCACTATTATACTTGTATTCTGTGTAATGCATTGTTACAACCCTTCCAGGTACCAGTAGAAAAATGCATAATTTATTTATCATAAGCAGCAGAAATAATGTAAGCGATAGAACTCACATCATATTAGCCAGTTCTTTGGTGGGTCTTTTTTACATGAGGCATGTTAAAATATTGACTTGATAGACATTGACAAAGAAAGAAAGCATTAATCATACTTGATGGGTGACTTTATTGTTAATGCTCTAAATATTAAGCTGATCATTTTTTCCAGACAGAGCCAATGCACTGGGAGTTTGTTCATCAGGTAACACATTTATGAATTTGGTATTGATAACATTTTTGAAACAGAGGTCTGATGGTGAAATACAACCTGCAGATTTAATCTCCCAGCGCTGTATTGAAGTGCACAAACTGTGCACACTACATATGCATGCACAAACACAAACCTATCTATACATGTGCACAGGTGACACAGAAAGTTATACATTGGAGCCAAACCACAAAGAACAATTACTAGATAATGACACCAAAAATACCAAGTAATGCGTATTTTAAAATGAAAAATCTAATATAATGATTCAATATAAGAGATACATAACTGATATTGAAGCATAGACATTCAGTACTAGGGACAAAATAAAACAATCACATAATCCTCTTCTTGGTCTGTAATTCATGTTTGGTGAGAAAAGTTCATTGAGTTCAGCTCCCTGAAGTCAAGCGTTTACTGTTGTAAGTATAACTAGGCCCTGCAAACAGTATAGCCACGCCTGCCCTTGCCTCCAGAACCCCATGTTTATGCCCCTGCTGTCCTTTTTAAAGTTGCAGGATCTGCTTAGTGTCTATGCCAGCAGCTCTGCCATCCAAGAAAAACACAGGGATCCCAGTGGATGGCTTAATCTTCTTCATCAGCGTACTAATCTACAGTCTGGTCTGGATCTGCTTCTTTGACTCTTTGTAATAAGTGGCCTTATTAAGCACTGTCTCTGGTTACACTATACAACAGCAGCCCAAATGCCTTCAAGTCACACAATTCTGGTAAAGCATGGAGAAATCTGGTTTAAATGAAATTGAAGCAGTTGCCTTATTTTCTCCTGGACACGTCAGACATTAACATCAATGTTGCAGGTGCAGGTGATAGCTTGTGGTTAAGGACAGGGCTCTGTTGTCAGGAGCTGCTCAAGCAGTTGTATCATAGCTACCACGTTCTGAAATCAGCTCCTGGACGTCGCCCTCTCCACCATCCCCCTCTGACGATTGCGGCAAGGACAGAGGTAGCCTTTCAGGTGCATGCGCACCTTGCTGTGCAGTGAGGCGTAGATGAAGGGGTTGTAACATGCAGAGCTCATAGCCACTAAATGACAGCAGACTTGTAAGACGTTTATGTAGCGCTTCCCTATGATGTGAAAGTCCGGGTCCAGGTCCAGCAACAGGTTCAGCACCTACACAGTGGCATGGGAAAACTTGTGTTACTGCCTAGTTATTTGCATCAAATCAGTAGAGAATATTTAAATTACTAATTTTTAAAATACAATGAACTTCAAGTCACTTTTGAAAATGTCTGACTAAGTATGCAATTACACTTAGGTTGAATGCTAATACTAAATGACTCCTTGTTAGGCTTTAAAACCTTATAGACATGCGCCAATTTCAACAAATTTGCAATATGCAAGCTGCAATTTATACTGGAACTAGATCATTTCCTCTTTCTCATTTTGATAACTATTCCCTGTAGGACCCTGTGAAATGTGAAGCTGCCACCATTTGTGATTTGCAGGTCAGCAAAGCACTTTGTATTCGCAAAGCACTTTGTGAAAGGGAGCCCCAGGTCCGACTGCAATTTAAAATCCTTCCATGATGATGAAATCCTAATCTGTTTGGCTTTTGCATGGCTCATTGTGGATGTAATGCTGGTTTTGTGGACATTATGTAACTGATGATGAGGTTCTGTGGTTAATGATGTAAAAAAGCTTCACTCTCTTTATCTGCTGTTGAGTTTATGATTTGCTAGCAGGTACCAGAATGAAAACTTAAACTCCCTGCCAAGCTTAACTCCCAAATGAAAATCTTCCTGAGGATCTAAGACTCACCTGCAGGGGCAGCCAACACAGGGCGAAAGCCAGCACTGACGCCACCAGGAGAGTAAAGGTCTTCTTCCTCCTTCGGCTCCAGCGCTGCTGGCTGTTGGATGCCTCCCCAGGTACTGAATAGCGTTTTAGGCTGACAGTGATTGCACAGTAGGATACGCTGACCGACAGCAGCGGGATCATATAGGAGGCAATGAGGGTGAAGCAGGAGTAGAGCAGCCGCAGATTGCCACTATGTGGCCAGAATTCCTCACACACTACTAGGTCGATGCCATTGGGTCGCAGGTCCATATAGTGTGTGTAAAGAGACTGAGGTGCAGCCAGGGCCAGAGATAAAACCCAGACACCCAGAGTCACTGCACCACAACCCCAACCAGAGATCCTCCTCCGTACTGGGTGAGCTGGGACAGAAAGAAAAAAGAGATAGCATAGATATAAGAACCAAAGGAAGATATTATTTCACACATTTAAGCCAAAATGTTCATTTGTTTTAAGTGTTATAGCATCTTCAAATTATTCCTATGGCATACGTTTTTTGTAGAAAAATGATCCTGGTAAAAATGTCGTGTTAATTTCAGCCCATCTGAGGTTGAGTAATCAACATGCATTGCTGTCTACCATGTTTTTTTTTGTATGAAATGCTTTATTGTTCCAAAGAAAGACCTTTTCAGATCTAGAGTATAGAAATAATTGTATATCCCTTACCTACAACAACATAGCGATCCACAGCAATGGCAGTGAGTGAAAGCACAGATGCGAACACTGTGGCACATTGCAGCAAGGGGACCAGGTGGCAGAGGAGTCTCCCAAAAGCCCAGCCATGGCTGTCAAAGGCATAAGACACAGTCAGTGGAACACAACTCAAACACATCAACAGGTCTCCAGCTGCCAAGTTACTAATGAAAAAGTTGGTGGCATTATGGAGTTTCTTGTCAGACAAGATGCAAGCCAATAGGAAGGAGTTTCCAACACCAGCCACGACCACTACGAGGGAGTACAGAGGCAGGAAGAGAGGTTTGAAACGTAGAAGAAGCTCTATGCCTATAAACATGTCCAGGGGGTCACTGTGGTTGAGTCCGTGGCTTTTGCTGCCTTCTAGTCCTTCTCCTCCAGTTTGATGGCTGGCGTTACCGGTCACACTCAAATCCCCATCCATCAAGGTATCCATGTCTTTGGAGGCAACCTGAAAATAAGGGAGAGCATGATCAACAATAAATCAGTAAGCACTATAGGAAGTAATCAACCAATCAAGGTGTCGCTGTGTTTCAGTAATGTCAGTGAAAACTTCAATTTGTAAGGGTTTACAGTGATAAGTTATACATTTCTCCTTATGTTCCAGACCATTGCTTACACCTTCTCATGAGAAATGTTTTGAAGTTTTACGGACTTGCCTGGAGAGTCCTCAGAGATGATGGACATATTTGTTGTGCCCCAGTGCCTTGTGATGTATCATACTATGGACCATCATGCATCTCGGTGCCATTTCCTTCAAAAAGCTGTTAAATCCAATTTCTGAAGACATAAGGTAGGAGTTCACAGCCATAACAATATAATAGAGAGGGGACATTGATGTAAACTCTTAAGATTTAAGTGATTTGGTCTGCCCTGAATTGTCAAGAATATATAAATGAAGTATTTTTCTCAGAACTTTATACGATACAAATGATCTTGATCTGTAATTCAGGATAATTCAGGCAGATAAGTATTTAAAACTAATATTATAACTCTGCATGATGCACGAAACATGGTATTGAATAATACAAAAAACTACTTTGTTGGTATATGTTACTAAAATCTGATATGCTACCAACTTACATTGTGTCAGCAATGTAAGTACTTACCTACGTAAGATATAAGAATATTTCCACTCTATGCCTATCAACTTCAAAGCATGAAAAGCACAGGTGTAATTAACGCCTTGAGAAATGAAGGTATCCTATATGAGTATGAGTATGTATGAGAAAACCCAGTGTGTTGGTGAAGCCAGTGGAATGGAGCCCAGCTTAAACAAGGGGCTTATTGGATCTGTTGTCATATATTGTCTTTTCTATCCAACGCCTTCAAACCACATTCTCATGCAGTTGGCTCGGAGGCTTTGTGTAGCTGTTGTCCTCCATTCTGTGGCCTTTAACATTGGCAGTTAATACTGAAAACAACTGCTCCATGCTCTGAGTAAATTTCTGCCTGCACTTCATACATTTTTTTCCTGATGTCTTTGAATCTTTTTATGAATGTCAACTTCTCTGGCTTTTGAAAAAATAGATCCTGACCTTTGTCAGATCAGATTTGCTGTCCCTTCAAGGATTTGCTGTATTTGTTTTTGCTCTTAAAAAGGTCTGTGTGGAAATGCAGTTGAAAGTAAATATTGATTGAAAAGTCTCTCAAGATAGTGCAAGTTGTATTGATTAAAAAGTGACTTTCCTATTTAGAAGTAAGCTTCTGAATGCAATGATGTGTTGCAGTAAACCTTTCGAGTTACGAGAGTATTGTTGGACAGTACGGAGGTAGATTTTGCTTCAGATGTTTGAAAAGTTACATTTTCCCTTAAACTGCTGCTTATTTTCTGTGAAATGGGTTACCACCAAGTGAAGCAATCAGTTAGAAAACCCATTCAAATATCTGGAAATGATCAGGAAAGTGTGTTATGATTCAGTGTATTGTATTTTGACATGTAAAAAACAGAATACCACATGCTCCACTTGATCTTTCATTCCTTCAAAAGAGAGGCCTGACCCAGAATGGGCATCACTTATCTACCCATTAACTGACTGAAAGCAACATACCCAGTTCCAGCCACATAATTTACTGAGGACAATGAGTGCAAAGTCTTCCACGGCACCAGTCATGCCAGACAGGGCTTGAAATATAAACAACAACAAAAACACAGAGTCCCTCTGCCTCTGTGTTTTGAATTAGGAAATATCTAGAGGGGCACAGCATGGTTTGTTTTCCTCTGTAACATGATTGCACCGAAGACAAGGAAAATAATGGCAGCACAGCAATCAAAGGCAGAGCCAGATCAACAGTTACGAGAGTCTTCAAATAAACTCACAGTAACATAAGCAAAACAGAAAACCTAGCTTAGTCAAGAGCCCTATTACAAAACTAGAAAAATCCACAATGTCAGCCGCGCCGCTCGCTGACTAACCGGTTTCAACTATATCCCACCCTGGAGATCTTGGGGAGAAGAGACTCAGCTCCTCTCTCTGCATGTGCCACAAGATCAGCTTCCCTGCTTGTCATTTGTTCACCTCCCTGATGAGGAGGCCCGCACCTGATCCCAGTGCTCTCCTCTGGGAGTGGGTGGAGCCCTCTGGCTGGAATGTAGGTACCTCTAATTACCCTGCCCCTCAGTCCCTTACGCCTCAGGAACATTCAGAAACAGTGGACCAAATGTTTTTGACACATTAATATTGCTGCTTATTCAAGAAAGCCACCAATTCCACTAAAATTGTTTTGTTTTGTTTGTTCATTTGTTTTGAAGGTAGTTTTATCTCTGACTAAAGCCTCTGGGATTTGGAAGTTAATTAAACATAAGATAACTGGTTGCAATTCAGCTTTACACTGTATGACTGTTTTTTAATGTTCCCAAATTTTATTGAGCATAAGCTCCATTAGTGTACTGAAATCCAACATTCAGCATACATTTTATTCAGATTTATTTTAATATTTCAAATCGCATTGGACATCCTATTATTTTAGGCCACCTGCTGCTGGCGCTTGAAGAAAATGACGAAATCATGATGACCTCTCCTCTGGATATCTGTATCAAATGTCATTCCAAGCTATCCGATAGTTGTTGTGATATTTCAGTCTGGACCAAAGTGGTGGGTGGAATGAACAAGGAGGACATTGCCATCCCTAGAGCCACAAAACATAATGAGTGGAGAAAAATAACAAATGCAGATGCTTGTAAGGCAAGATGGGTCACTGAATGGTTTAATGAGTACGAAGAATATGTGATTCATATGCCATGGCCTTCCCAGGTCTCAACTCAATTGAACGTCAGGGAGATATGAGACCAACACATTAGACAGTACATATCAGGTAACAACTTTACCTGTTTATACTTCATTTAAACAGTCTCTAAGATAGCTTTAAGGAAAGCAGGATTTGTGTGTCTCTTGTTATCAGTGGAACGGAGTCATGTGTAACACTCCAGTGATCTAACCTTTTCTGAAAGCAGGGTTATGATTCCAAGTGGAGTGTGTTTTAGCACACTGAGAAGCAGCTTCACAATGCTAAGTCTGTCAAAATTGAAACTATGAATGAGATCTCAATAAAAAAATCTTAAAGTCTGGCATTGTGGAAGGTGGTGACAGGACAGTTAAGGTTTCCTATCACTGGGTGAATCCATTATTCAGATAGTTGATATCATTTTTTGAAGATGGATCCACTCCAGTCACTCAATATCAGTTTCAGGGCATGTTAGAAAAATACATGTTAAATTCAAAACCTTTTAGTTACCATCACTTGAGCTGCAGCCCTCTCCACTTCAGAGGTAGCGTCTCTCAGTGGTAGCAGAACTCTAATTTGCTATGCACCTGTCCATGATCACCGGCAGCAATATGGTTTCTAATCCCATCTATGCCGTCTACGTTATCCGACAGCTTGGAAGAAGCCAACCATTGCCTAGTAACACTGTTGCCATGGCCTTTGTGGAAACCATCCAGACCTTGCAGCTAATTTGTGAAGCATGATGAGAATTGAAAAGCCCTCAAAATGCAAAACAGGAGGTAAGACTCTTGACAGCTCTCTCACACCCCATTTTGTATGCTCTCTTTTCCTATCTTTCTTTACATCTGCTCTGTTTTTGCTCTCTCTGACTCACTCTGACTTTTTTATCTGCAGCACTTTATCTACACTTTGCATTTCCATCACTCTGAGGCTGCTGAGGCATTCAAAGTGAGCTGGGGCCAGAGGCTGGACAAATACCAAACACAAATGAGGTCAAAGCTCATGGTATGCAATTCTGATGAGACGACTTGATGATGGTCCTCGTAATTTGAATTTGGAATGCAGGAGTCCTGCTTGTTTGATGCAGAATTATTACCACACATAATGTGTGATGGTTTTAAGTGCAGATATTTGGCGAACGGGGAAGAAAAATGGTGTGAGCTCTCTTTAAGTTTGGATTTCACATCTTGTCACTCTACAGTATTCTCTCCACAACTGAGATGTATGAATTGCTGTTGTATGGAAGCAGATACTGGGTGTTTTTACGTGTTTTAAAGTGAGTAGACTGAAGATGTCCCACTGCAGCTAATCTTTAACTGCTGGCGAAATGTTATTATGTCTGCTGAGCCTTTCATTAAGAGAGGTCAAAGCTCTAATAGCATTAACTCTGCCAAGGAACAACTTATCACAATTTAAGACGTACGAACACATATGAACACATCTGGACAAGTGCAGTCAGTAGAAAAATAAACCCTTGAGCTTTAATGGTTAGTTGTGTGAGGCTGAATGCCAGTCAGCAGAATGTATAATCTTCAAGAACTTTGTTGTGATTGTTGATGCTGCAGCATAGGGGTAGACCTATTTATTCATTCATCACCATAAATATAGGAAATGAATACTTCCCCAATTGCCTAAAACTAAATTCCATGCCAGTTTTATCCTTTTCCTGATGTAGGTGTTCTTGTCACAGGGTATGATTTTAGCTTATAAACTCCACGCTGTTGAGCTTTCAGCGCTGCAATTCTGGCAGTGCACCCCTCCCTTTTCATGCATACAGATGCTTGACACAAAGTTACACAAAAATGTATTATTGAAATGACATCCCTTGTAGGAAATGTTCTAAGACATGAAAAAGAATGCTTTAAAATCTAGACAACTTGTACTTGTAATTTTTGCCAGGGACACCTTTCTTTTAATACATTTTTGACATGCATACATATACAAAAGCAAAATATTATTGTACACTTAAAACACAAGAGGAATGAGCTTGCAGCATGATTTAAATATTAGGAGATTGTGTATAAATCTTTGTGGGTGTGCTGCCCCAAATACGTTGAATTGCTGGGAGATTCTGCACTGTTCTTGTCCTATCCATGTGACTTAGTTTAATTCTGTAACTGCTGTTTTTCATTTGTCAGTGTTATTTGTCTATATTTTGCATTGTACTCCCATATCAATATGAATTATTCACAGAAAAATCCTATATGTTGTAAAATGTTTTAATAATTATGTGACTTCTACTTGGTTTTGTCTTAAATTATTACAAAATAGAGTAGTGACACATATTTCAATACATGTGCATGTGACACCTATGAAGTACTTAACTACCCCATAACCTACAAAACATACACATAACAAAGATGCAGCTGCAGTTTGGCCAAAACTGCTTCTGTCTTTTTGCTGCTCTGCTTATGCTCCTTTTGAAAATTGCCGGACCTCCTTCAATGTCTACAAATACTGCCAATTAGCTGTCACCTTTTTTCACCACTGAGGTCGTTTTCAATGAGGTATTACATTTTTTATCCAACCCATGCATGCTGCTTGTATAAGGTGATAGTGAATCAGTAACCTGATACTGATTGCAGATAAACTATCAATAAGACAATTATGCCAAATAAACCACATAAATGACACCTCTTGATTAGGTAAGAAAAAAATGTATAAAGCAAACATTTGATGCTAATTGTGTCTGAGTCCTCACTTGTGTGGATGCATATGCAAATGTCAATGCATGCAATAAATCATCAGATAGTCATTGAGTTTCTTACCTGTGCAGATGTTTGATATTGAAGATACTGAGAATATCCCAGTGTGGTGTCACCTTAGTTCAATTAATGAGCTTATTTTCTTCTCTTTTCTTCGTCGCTTTTTTTTCTTCTTTCTAGTTACAGATCTTACATTTTGTGGTCAGAAATGCTTTCCTGCAGCTTACATATAAGAGCCCACAGGGGAATGAGTCAGATGGTGTTGCCTCACTCAGCACTGAGTGAGAATGACAGAGGGAGGGAGAGAGAAAAGGGACCCACATAACCTTTAACAGCTTTGATTGCGTGCTGATTCGTCCACACCTGAAGAGGATTGAGGGAATTATGAGCAACCGTGTGAAAAAGGGACAGAATCATATTTACTGTGTTGTCTCCTGGGTAAATGTCCAGTTATTAAATTAAAAAGACAAATGTATACGCAAATGAGCGAGGCAGACTTCAGCTCATGCCTCTGCATTGTTTTTTTCTCTACAATATTACATAATCCTAAATACAAAATCCACAAGCACTGTTTTAAAATAATTTACACAAGTGAGGCTTGAGTATGTCTACACCAGGCACTTGGGCTGTCACTCCTCTTTATTTGGGCTGCCTTTTGTAATGTAATGTTCTCTCAGAAGAACCCCTGGTGAGCAGCTATAGTGAAAAGGAACATCTAATAATGTTCAGACCCTCTGCTATTCCTTCATCCCCCTCTCCCTCTGTCTTTGGTAAAAGTAGCTCATTATTGCCATTGTTGACCATGTGATGAGGATCTGACATTGGAGCTCAGAAATATACTCTATTCAACTACAACCATTTCACACCACATCAATTTGGGGCCCAATTCAATACACGACGGACCACTCAATAGAACACTCTACCCTGCCAACACACGAGAGCTTTGAGCAAAGAAAAAAGCTGAGTAAGAAGACACAGATAGGAGAAAGCAATATGGATTGCTAAATTGCAGGTCTTTTTGTCAAAGCCTAAAAGAAAACTGAATGTTTGATTGATTTGTCTTGCTGCTGTGGAAAGCTTAAAGATAAAGGGGAACTGAAAAGACAGAGGTATTCATGGTATTTTTAGCTGCTGGACTTAAAGTTCTTTTGCCCTTCACACAATGCAATTCAGCTTCTGAGACAGCCACCTGTTTCTTCACAGAAAAAAATCTAATTTCTAATGGACAAAGGGGGAGTTGTTGGAGTTGTGTTTCTTAATCTCAAGAAGGCATTTGACACTGTTAACCATAGCAGTCTTTTGTCCAAGTTGCACGGCTACAATTTCTCCTCAGGTACACTTAAATGGATTGAATCGTATTTGCTAAATAGATCACATTATGTCCAAATACAGAACTATCTACCGCCCTCCACTTGTCCACAGGCATCCCACAAGGATCTGTCCTGGGCCCACTGCTGTTCTCTTTATATATCAATGATCTGCCATCAGCATGCCCTGACACCTACAGTACATCCAAATGTATGCAGATGACACTGTGATTTACTTGCATGGTAGCAAAATGGGACAAGTGGCAAATGAACTCACTAACTCCATGGTTCATGTAACTGCATGGTTAAAGCAATGCTGTCTATAACTAAACGTATCCAAAACAGTATGTATGTTTTTTACCAAAAGAAACTCTGGTAGTGTAGAGCCAGATGTTTTTATATCTGGGGAGAGGCTACGGGTTGTACCTGACTACAAGTATCTCGGAGTACTTTTTGATTCCAAATTGTCATTCAAATCTCAAATTTCAGGTTCACACGAAACTACATGTCAACAGAGGCAGCTAAGACATACATGCTTTCTATGGTCGTTTCCCATATCACTTACTGTTTAACAACCTGGTCACAGGCTAGCACCACTACTCTGAAACCACTACATTCATTGTATAAACGAACACTCAAAATCCTTGATAAAAAATCAGTTCTTTCTCATCATTGCCCTATACTAAAAAAATATAACTTGTTTAGTTGGGAGAGCATGATTAAATATGTGAATGTCTGTCTCATGTACAAGATTATACATGGCTTGACCTCTCCTCCGCTTAAACAATTTGTGATCACAAGAACAACTGGATATCGGCTCACAAGAGGAGCAGCAAGAGGGGATTGCATTATCCCTCAGGAAAAGTGCTTTCAGTCAGTCTGCATTTTCAGTGCAAGCTGCACTACAATGGAACTCCATCAGTGACCATTAGAGAACTAAAAACATACAGTTCATTTAAATCTCAATTACAGAAATGGTTAGTTAGTACCCAGCTCTGTCAGCACTAGAATGTAACTGTTTCTCTGTCTGTGTTGAACTTCCCTCGATCTGTCTGTTGTCACCTTTCTGTCTTTCTTTAAATTGCCGGTCGACCCTCAGCTACCTGCATGCATGTCTTTTATTGTTGTTAGCTGTGTCTGACTGATTTATGTATTTCACATACTCTGTATGCTTTTATGTTTTGTGCCTCTGACATGGATGTTTTTTAGTGTCTAAACAACTACAGCATAATACTGTTTTTAGTCCATGTTTCTATTTTAACATAGCTAACCTTTTTATTTGCTTTGTGTGAGTTGACTTTGAGAGCCTCTGTGTTGCATATCTTGTCTGTACTTGACAATGTATAACAGTTTTATTTTCACTTTTTTCATTGTTTGTGCACGCATTGTTAAGTGTCAATATTGTATAACCTTTTAACTTTAATCCTATCTTCTGTTTTTAGGTTTATTTTGTAACATCTGCCTCTTGGGACTACAGATGAAAAATAGCCTTTTGGCTAACTCTGGCGCATTTGCAGAAACGTTTTTATTAATGTGCACTGTCCCGTATCAAATAAACCAATAAATTAAAAAAATAAATAAAGTAACACTTCCTTGAATATTCAAAATAAACACATAACATCAAGTACATAAATCCAGTTATGGTTGTGTGACAAGCATCAAATGTCAAACAATTTGTCCTTCAATCAATTATAATTTTTTGTCTTAACACACCCTAAACTGTAAGATATTTAATATACTGTATGTTTATGCATTATGTTTTAAACTGGCCTCTTGAACTGAATATTAATTGTGGTTGCACCGAATGGCTAACAGACACAGTTACAGACTAGCTGGTGAATACAGTGAAGCATTTAGCAGCTAATGAGCCAGATATATTGCCCTCAGGAGTTGGTATTAAGAACATAACTAACAACGAGTGAATATTGAAAAGTTTGAACCAATAAGGCACCCAATCTGAGAGGGGATTAATGGGATTAATGGGGTAGAACCGAAGAAAAACAAAGTTTTGTTCTGTCTGGTCTTTTATTTAATCATACTTTTGTGAAACAAAGGATGATTGTACATCTTTTGGCTTGAACAATTATTAAATCAAAACATCTGAGGAGATTACAGGATAAATCACTGCTATAATAGGCCTACAAACCTTTTTATTGTAAAATATGAATCTTAAAATGTTTGGGCAAATGTGATAAATAAAGGTACTGGATCAGTGTGAAGTAGTATTAAATGGAAGAGTGTAAGTGTGCTTGCCATCGTTGCACTTGCTCGTGAGACAGAAGCTGCTTTTTATAGGCAGTTACATTACAAATCCAGGTTATTTCACAGTGTGTTGAATATTTGAGTTTGATTACTACTGAACTAATGTTTTGAGGGTAAAGCAACGCAGCACATCTGCCTTGCTAAATGTCACAGTCCGTCTATCTTTTGATTTGATGCCCCTGAAGGACACATTTTGTAACAGTCATTGCAGATAAGCTCTGACCTCAATGTATCTGTACGTACATAAGCCACCCTCCAGGAATAAAAGTCCGTAGGAGATGAAAGTGGTGAAGGAAGCAAAGGGGAGAGAATTGAGGTGATGATGTTATACAAGATTTGTGGTTGAAGTGAAAGCAGATAAGTGGTGCTTTTAGAGTAGAGTAATCACAACTAATAGAAAGATGGAAAAAGCATTCTAGCGTTATTCAACATGAATTGTATAGTCAGTGTAGATAGTAGACACACTTCCAAGCTGTGTAACAATGCATGGTTGGAACACTGGCAACTTCTGTGGGTGAAGGCTTGGTAAATATGTCAAGCACTTTTCACCAATTCACCAATTATTGTAACATTTTACTTTTACGTTATAGAACAATTTCCTCCATAGTCCATTACCAACGTTCATAATGCATACATTTAATCAATAATTGTTGATTGATGATTTTCAAGAATAATTGTGTACCCCAATGTTGTTTGACTGTTCTGCCAATTGTTAATGTTTACCCTTCATTTTATGTTCACTGATAGCTTAGCAACTATAAATTGATGCTGCTGCCTGCCACTCATTTGTGTCCAACAAGTCATTGATGGAGCCAGCTGGGGACAGAATGAACTGTGACCCGTCAGACATAATGAACAGGGCATCGATTGGGTTTGAGAAATACTGTGGTTTCAAATGCATCTGTTGGTTCAGGCGCTATTTCTGCTGTTTGTTCTTGTCTGGTAGGCAGAGGGTGGCTGGAAGATCCCTAATTTACTGTTCTGACCATTAAAATGCCTTGCTGCTAGAAATTGCGGTCCACTTTCAAATCATACCCTATACATCTTTAAAAAATCTATTTGGGGAAACTACTCACTCACCAGTATTTCCCATAGACTGGTGACTCACACTGCCACAATGCCACACACTGCATAATATGTCTATCCATTATTTTCTTATTAAAACAATTGCATTATATCATGTTGAAATGTGAAGAATCACACAAGTGTTTATTGTATATTTTGTGTAAAATAAACTGTGTATGCTTTATATTCCTGATGATTCTACCTATTGGTTTGCATTAATTTCAGTTAGGGATGAAAATTAACTGGCAGCGCATATTGTGCCATATAGGCCATTTTCATGGCAGCCATTTTAACATGTCATTGCAGGGTAAACACAGGTGTAAACGATTAAATTAATATATGGTCCGGTTCTATTTAGTGTGCCACCATTCCAGTGAGCCAGCATGCATAATAGGTCCTGACCCAATGCAACACGGCCATAATTAATTATATTAATTACACTTGTGTTTACCCTGCAATGACATGTCAAAATTGCTCCTGTGAAAAGGGCCTTTTCTCAGGCTGGTAGACACTGTTCTGAAATCAGTCTGTTCACTCCCACTCACCAGACTAAAAACGTTAAAGCTGTGGCCAATCACGGCCAACCCTGAAACCCCCACAAATTACCCCACAGATGAATCACCACATCTCTAAAAAAGTAATACCTTCATGAATATTTATTGCAGGACTGTAATAACGACATTTCAATCAGGAGAGGCAAGTCAGATGAAGAAAAGATAATTGTTTTTAATTAACAAATGTGATGATAAACTCTTGACATGGTCAGCATCAAGATTAATCCCCCACATGGAGTCCAGACACTGGTGGTGGTGGTGGCTAATGAGGCTGATAGAATAATGAGTGAGCATGCGTGAGAAGTGAATGGCAGATGTATGAGAAATAAACTACAAGCCTAAGAATACAAGAGTACAGTCTTCCTGACTGAACTTATGCTAGAGCTTCATTTAAAGAAGGTTGGGCTTCACTATGGCAATTGTGTGGTAGCACTAATGGGGTTTGGAGAATGCATCTTCAACACTTGCAACAGTTTCAGTATGGGAACAAACGCACACATCCTATGAATCAAATTTCCTCCAGGATTTGGGGAGAAGTCCCAGTAAATACTGTGACCTCAATTATTGTTATATAACCTTATGATTGTATATGAGTGCAACTTTTAGTCAACCTTAGCCAGCTTATATTTGTTTGCTGTATATATGTGTATGTGTGCTGTTACTTTATCTGCCTGATTATTTGTGTTTGACCTGCATCCTATATTATTACCCTCCCTCCTGCCTCAGCCCCTGGATCTGTCTGCTTGTTTTGCCTGTCTGTTAACGACTAAGCGTGTAAATTGACCATTAAATCAGCTTTTTACCCTGTTACCCAGTAACAACCCTGAGGACACTTTAGTTAGAACAGGTAATCTCACACATTAAAATTAGTTTCAGTCTCTATTTGTGAAATTTGAATGATGGCATCTTCACGAATCCTGGCAGAAATACTTTAAGCTTAACTCTGTGCCAAAATTCCCAGCAATGAACATTCTCCTAGCTGAATACTATAGTAGAGACCTTTATCCAGTTATTCTTATGGACCATGATAGCTATGATATATCTTTCAGAAAATTGCAATCATAATTTTTTTATTCATCAAATTTCTTTTTGCCTTCTTCCAGATATGAACACACACACGGAGAAGTGGGTTTAATCGATCTGCCAGATATGATGTTATCATTGTGTTGGTCTGGAAACCTGCTGCTGTGTGAAGCTTTGTTTTCTCCATCTGACTGCAGGGCAGATTGGTTCATACTCTGATTATTCATCAAAACAAACACAACTGGAGGAGGCAATTCAACAGGAAAAATAAACCTCAAACATGATGGAAGTTCAAATTTGTCTTGTGGAACATTTGCCTGAAAAAAATGATTAGATTAGATTAGATTAGATTATGTCTTGACAGGTGAAAACAGCAACCACCCGATGTTAACCTTTGTTGCCCTCACTTCATTCCTCAGCATTCAATCCACTCAGTTTGTTCTGTGGTAAAATATTTAGTTAAATTTAACTAAGAATTGGAGGTCAGTGGTAGGAGATTCTTATTTTATGTTGGTGTGGGTATTTATGTGTGTATAAAACTGTACCAATATGCTGTTACAGTATATATATTATCACTATATATACTGTAGTAAAATGAGATTTAATGTTCATGCAGTGATGATATTATTTCGGAAGTATGGGAAAATAAGGGGATGATAAAAAGGTAAATTACATTTTTGCTTGGATTCATGTAATTGTTGTAATAAAAAGGTGGAAGAATACAATAGATAGAACGCAAAGAAATGACAATATTAGTACTTTATTTTGCTGTTAAACATGTGACAGACTAAGTAGCTGTTCAAATTGTTAATAACATCAAACAATTATTGATTAAAAATATACAAGTAGAATAGTTTGACAGATAAATAGATGGATTAATGGATTGGTAGTAAATAGCAAGGTGTAGCAGAGCATGTTTGTTCATACAGATACTTCAAAGATTAGTTTCTGTTCTTTGTCATTCACTTAAATTTTTTATTATATTTCTTTCACTTAAATTGCGTAACATCTACATCTGTAACAAAAGGCTAACGGTTATGGATGGACTCTAGTTGATCATTTCAAAACACAGAACAAGTTAATTTGGCATACTTTAAAATATATTAGGAGAAAAAGATGAGACGATTTATTGTTGCATGATGTGACGATGTATTCTACATTTCTGCCCTTCTCTAAATCCCAGTGCATTCATATTCCTTTCTAAGGTACCAAGTTTTTAAAGGAAAAACATTTATTTTAATTTTAATATCACAGGTTTTTGTCATTGGTTGGCTTTGAATGCATGGTAAGACCGAAGAATTATTCACGCTGTCTTCAGATCATTTAAGGAAAGGATGAAAACAAAAAGAAATAAATGAAAACAAATCAGTTGTCATTATCAGTGTTTTGAATGAGTATTAACATCCTTAATAGATAAAATACTTCTAAACGAGATAAATATTTGATCAATAAAATGTCACATGCATTATGATAAAGACAGCATTACAGCACAGGGCAGTCCTATTATTTGTATTGTCCACAGAGGAAGCCCTTCCTCAGACTGTACAATGCCTGCTCCTTAGTGATCTTCTCCCACTCCTCTGGAACCTCTGCTGGTTCCTGCTCGTACTCCTTTGCAAACCTCTCGTTGAACCTCGCCAACACATACCTGTAAATTAAAGAATATTTAGCTAATTTAGGGATAATTTGCACACAAGAAAAAATATATACTGGTACAATATATACTACCACAAGAACAGATTATGTAAGAAAACATTATTATTGAAGACTCAATAAACCACACATTACCTCCAGTAAGCACTGGGCATCTGGCTGTTTGGGTCCTCAGGGGAGATGCTCCTGTCTGGGTAGAGGGAATGGAGGTCCCTGCCTGCCACAGACATCCCGGGTGTGCTCTTGACTGGGTTGACTTGGGCCATGCTTCCAAGGCAACTGATACAGGACAGAGAACCAGAGTCATGGGGCAACATACCTTTGGGCCTGTGGAGCAGAGCCCTGTGCAATTCATGGCCCCTCTCTTCCAGCTCACATGGAGCTCTGCAGAGAGGACATTGCTGGTCACAGCCTCTCACTCTGTTAAAGAGGGAGTCTTGGGGCTGAATTGGGAGGCACTGAAGAATTTGGGTGGTCTCCACATTTTGGGAGAACTCCTGGGCTAGGTCCAACCGCATTGCCGCCAATAACTCCATTAGACATGTGACAAAGTGATCCCATTTTGTGGTGATACTGAAGAAAGGTCCATCCAGCGGGGCCCTGGTCACATCCACATCTCCATCGCTCTCTAAAGTGAGGCACACTCTCTCCAGCAGCGGCTTTGTATCACTCAGCACTCCATTGGTACCTTCTGCTGTTTGACTCACTGCTGCTGCTACCTTTCCTATAATTTCTCCAAGTCTTTGATGCCTCCATTTATCAAAGTTGGTTGATTCAGAGAGGTGGGCCATCACTTTCTCCTGAATCTTCCTCACTCTGAAGTTTTCATAAGAAAGCAAATATTCCAGAATGCTCTCAAAGTGGTCCTCCTCTATCAGCTCCTCCAGCAATTTTTGATGGAAGGCACGTGGGGACTGAAACTGCTGGACTTTACTTTGGATCTCTTCGACGATACGCATCCCTAATGGTCTATGTATGTAATCCAACACTGTCGGTTTGATGACCATGGAAGTAAATGCTTGAGCCACCCTCTGGCACTGGTCTCTCTTCCTGAACTGGTAGGTAAACTCTGCCAAGTATGTGCTCTTGGTCGCAGTAATACATGTCAGAAGCTCACTTTCTTTGGCATAGCGGTCATGTAGTTTTTTAAAGTCTTGGCATGCAGCCCTACAGACATAAACTTTTAGATCCACCTCAAAAGCTGATCTGATTTCCATAGATTTTTCTTTCAAAGCTTTTTCAACATTTTCCAACAGTTTTGTGATGTAGCTGTCAGAGAAATCAGCTGGTAAGATCAATTTATCTGCTACAAATTGCTTGTATTCTTCTATTATAGTGCATGCTACCTGTTGCGCTTCTAACCTCTGCAGTCTGTTGTTGTCTTCAAACATGTGCTTTAATCTGCTGCGGTATCCAAAATGCTCATCAAGCACTTGGAAGCTAGATGTCTGATTTTGGCCGATGACTTCAAGTTTTTTCATGTGTTTTTGGAGACCACAGTATATTAGATTATCTTTCAAAATATTACACACTCTTGCAGTAATATCATCTGTTTCTGAAGGCCTGAAGTCGAAGTTGGACAGTGTCTTACTCCAACCACCCTCAAACTCCTCTTCTAGTTCTGTATCTTGAAGGAGAACTTTGGTTGAGTTGCTGTTCTCTGCAAGTGCACGTAGCTTTGATTCCTGTTCTTTTTCAAGTAAGGCCTCAAATTTTACCAACTGTGTTGAAGAACAATGGCTCTCATTGACTTCACCCAACCTTTGTATTGTCTCTTCAGTTATTCGCCCCTGAAGGTCATCCATATTGCTCATTAGGATTGGCCTGAATGTGTTCATTTTTTGAGGGTTGTCTTTCATCAGATAGGCCTCCACTTTTGACCTGAGTTTGTCCACCTCTGTTTTGACTTCATCTCTGGCTTTAATCTTCAACTCGCTCAGAAGGCCATTTTGGATCAAAGCTTCTAGAGCCTTTGTGGCAAAGATTTTCTTTGTTGCCCCCTTCAGCCAGCTTTCCATGTATTCCAGGAAACTATCCTCCCATTGTGAAATCTCTGTGCACAGTAAAGAGAAGGCTAAAGCTATGTCAGTATTTTCTAGACCAATGGAGAGTGATTCTGCTTTCACTGCATCCCAAATAGCACACAAACGACTCATGAATTCAGGCAGACCTGTGGCTTCAGACTTAGCTGCACACTTCTTCAATGCCCCAAACAGGTTCTGCTTAAGCTTTAACACAGCATTGCTGTACTGCTTATCAATTGGTTCAGAGAGGGACATATTGTACCAAGGCCCTTTGACATGGGTGATACAGCTTATGGTCTTTGCATACTGGTTGTCAGCATTGCTAGTTCCTCTGTCCCCAGTCTCAGTCTGAAGCATATCCGATACACGCCTTAACTGTGATGCTTGTATTAAGCTGTTTATTTCTTCATCCTGGGCCAGTAGTTGGCAAATGGGCATGGAGCCACATTCTTTGATGCGTAGAAGAGCATTGACCATGACAGTAAGGTTAGTCTCAAACTCAGTACTCACATGTGATGAGATATTCTGCAATAAAACATCACTCAATCCTGTTGCAACAGTGGCCATCTCGTTGTCGTGGATCAGCATTTTTCTGTCTCTGTCAAGAGACATTGAGCAAAGTCCTTCCACATCAATTAACAACAGAAAATCACACTCCATATCCTTTTTGAGGTTATCGGGAAGACACAGGGCAACCATGTACACCCCTCTAGTGGATCTCTGCCTTCTTTCCGGAAATTTCACCCCAAACAGTGCAGACAGAACCTCAGCATTCATACCATGATGTACTCCAAGGTTTGTCAGCACTCGAGTCCTGCACTGTTCTTGAGGTAGGCGACGTTTGAGCTCTGCAAAGACACAGCCCAGCCAGTGGATGGGAATGTGTGAGGCATCTCCATCCATTAGTTCAAGTGGAATCCCATAGATCAGAAGGTCTGTAGCTAAGCTAGGGAGACACAACACATTGTGGCTCCCACTCCCGGGGCTGATGTGTGTTAGTTCAAAAATTAGGCCCATCTCACGCAAAAAGTGCTCAAGCGCCAGCGAGGACAGATCAGTTTCCATAGGCTGTGATCTTGAGGCTACCAGATGTTCTAAGGTAACATCTAAGCACATTTGTTGTCTGGCAGAAGAAGTCAAATCTGCCTTAGTTAGTGTCAGCTTTGGTTCATCTAGTTGGGTCAGCTCTGGATCATCTAGCTGTTTCCATCGGAAGCTTGAGGTTCCATTTTCTCCAGATTCCAAATTATGGTTTTGGTCCTCAAAGTCGCAATCTGAAATTTGTTCTTCACCCTGAATCTCTTTTTTGTTGGATGTCACATCTAACTGCTGCTCTTTGACTGGATCAGTGCAGTTTTTTTCAGGCAGCTCTTCAGTGTTTTCCTCTTCAAATGTTGAATCTGTGCAGAAACTATCACTGTCTGTTGGGGAGTCATTAGCTCCATTTTGGAGCTCATCAGAATGTTCTGGCATTTCATCTTTCTTTTCTGTCTGTAGGTTTATGACTAGATCTTGTGGACTGTTTAGTTTTTTGATTTGATTCGACCGAAGCCTCAACTTCATCCAACTGAGGAAATAAGTCCTCTCCACTTTGTCTGTTGTGAAAAGCGCATCGGTGAAAATCTTCATCGCTGGAGTCATTTTGTAGCTGCTCAACTCTACCAAGATGTCTTTCTTTTTTCGTTGAAGTTGTGGATGAAATTCTATTCCTTCTTTCCTCTGTTTGCTTTCCTCCTTTTCTATTTCAGCAAGTTTACTCCACAAATGCCCTTGCAAAGGAAGCTGTTTTTCCCTAAATTGAGCAGATCCCTCATCTAAACCTTTCAAAACTTCATCCACTGTGGCCATTGCCTTTTTACAGACCACCCCTTCATCTACATTAAGGCCTAGCTCCTCTGCTAATTTCATTGCTGCTTCAAGTGAAACAAGTTTCAATTCATCTGGTAACATACTTTTCAGGGTGTCACACAGCCTATTAGCCAGTTCCTCCTCACTCAAATCTCTGCCTTGCAGCACTGATACTCCAGGAAGCGACATGTATTCTTCAAAGTTCTGATCAACAAACCCCACAACGCTGTTCTCATTCTTCTCAGCATCTGATAGGTCAATCACTATGAGCTTGCTTACCGTATCTTTGCAGGAGGCAAGGAGTTGTTTTTCTTTCTCCCTAAGATTCCCACAGAACACAACCACAGCTGAAGACGATTGACATAAGAGGCTGAGGCATTTCTCCTGTGTACTGGCATCACCACGGAGGTTAGAGATGACTACAGGGATAGGAAAGATATCTCTTGTAGTGTCCGCTGTGGGTAGATACCATCCAATCTCCACCAGGCCATTGCAGAGTCTTCGGGGCAGCTGTCCTCCATCCATTCCCCTGTGGAGGAATGTGTCATGGGGAGATCTGAGTCCACTTATAACATTGTTTAGCACCTGTGACTTAGAGACACCACTGTGACCAAGCTTCACACAAGAAACCACTGGCATGTATGTACTTGCTAAATCCCCCTCGTGGACCTTCCTGTTATTATCTGGAAAGTGAGACCTCCATTGGCCAACAGCCCCTCTCAAAGGCCAAAGAAGGAAGCGACTGGGCTCTTCTGGATCTATATTTGGAAGGACCAGAGGCACAGCAAATTGGCATTGCAACATGCGCACAGTCATCTCCTGCTGAAGGAAAGTGTTGGCGGACATAAAGACAGCTGTAACTAGATCAAGGGGGTTGATGGCACTCTGGCTTTCTCCGCCAATACCATCGATCATCTCCTCAGGGGATTTGTTGCCGTTATTCAGAACATCTTGCAGAGGTTTGCAACAAGGACTCCGGGCATCTGGGCTAAGCAGCCAAAGGCGTTGAAGGAAAGCATTTGGTAGATCCTTGGGCTCTAGAGGGGTTTGCTTCTCCAGAGTCCAAGTGCTGATGTCCAGCATAGATGCTGGGTCCAGTGGTGTAGTCCAGAAGGCCTCTAATCCCAGTTTATTTAGGACCTCTGCCTGGGAATTGTTCTTAGGAGGTTCTGTTTGAAAAATAATCAATCATTTAACTTGTGGATAAGCTATACTGTATATTTAAAACGTTCATGGTAATGTTGTTTTATCTAGATAAATGGAGAATTTCATATGGTCAGGAAAAAAAAAGTTATACCAGTTTAAGTTAAGTGCAAACATTGTTTTTCTTTGTACAAATGAAAGTTGCTTTTGTTTTTGTTGAAAATTTGAAAAAAAACAGAATACTTTTAATATACACTTGTACTGAGTTCTTGTCCATCCTTAATTTGTGAACTAATTTCTTCAGACTACTTTGAATGAAGAGTAACAAGATAGTTTTAATGAAATAGTCGAAAATATCTCAAAATTCATAATCAAACTAAATAATTTTCCTATTTATTTTATTAACGTAATATATTGTTTTTAACATTTTATAAACAGTAAAGGCACATTAACTAACTAGTCATTACATTTTACCCCAGTCTCAGCTACACCGGCAAACAAAACAGCTGGGTTCCCCTTAAACACACCATCCATCCCATGGTGCCATTAATATCCAAATTTACACTTGCTGTCGCCAACCCAATTAACATTAATGGGTAAATACATTAAAGCATTCAGTAATGCAGGGCTTTTCACCAAACACATTCCTCCTGTATTGTCTGTTCTATCTCATTTTGTTTTCAAACCAGGGCAGTCACAGGAGGAAGTTGTGGGTCAAACAAAATGTATTTCTGCCTTTCTCAGTAGAATGCAAATGTTTCGATTAGCTGAAGTTTAGGAAAACACAGACTGTGGCATTTATTGCTGCATTTGAATAGGGTAGGTATTATTTTGTTTTACGCAGTTGTACACTACTGCCACATGCCAAAGAATGAGAAAGTATTTTTGCCATTTATTTCTGCTTGTAAGCCTCCCCTCAAAATTGTTAGGTGGGTATTTTTATCAATTAATCTTAATTAATGAATACACAGAATACACAGTAATGTTAAAAATACATGGTTCTACAACATCTAAATACAAAAAGGAAACATACTTTTCTTTTTGCTGCTCAGCCTGTTAGGGAGCTTCACTGACATGATAAATCCAGCTGAGTGACTCTCCTCAAAGATTTAAAGAAGTAATTCTTCTCTGGCCAGGCACATCATGAACAATGTGGAGTGTTGGCTGGAAACCTGTGGTAAAAAATCACAACATAAACATTACTGGCATACAACAGGCACAATACAGTCAAAAGTACCTTCTAGGACACCTCTGTGTCCTAGAAACAATTAAGGGAGTGTATTGTATCTTGCTGTCTCAGGGTACTGCTCATTGTGAACTAATTTTCCTAAAATTATTTAGCATTCTTCTCCATGTTAAATGTCTTTCTTTTTACTTCAATAATACTTCAACCATGACAGACTGAACATGATATGCTCATATAGTGGCCTCTCCTCAGATCAGGAGAAGGATAAAGTAAATAACTGATCAACATTTAAGTGACTCCCTTATACAGCAGTTTTAACACTTCACAGCTTACAGCTTGCAGTAATTTGTTTCCGATTCACTCTCTGTAACGATTTAGCTTTTTGTACACAAAAACAAAGTTACAAAGGGTTTCCTGTATCGTAAAATGCACATACAGTAGACTGCAGGTTTAATTCATATTTCTTCTGAAATAAGAGAAAAAGACGAAGATCATCAACTGTCCAGTCAGTTAAATTCCTTCACTGAATCTGCTATCTTCAACTTGGCCTAGATATAGTGTTGGATGTGCACACAAAAACATTTCCACTCATGCAACAAGTTTGCAATTTCATGTATTATTTCTCAAACAAGACAAATATATTAATGCTATTAATGCAATTATACCAATATCTGGTAAACATATTCAAACGCTGGCATGCAAGGTGCCACCTGCCCATCAGGATCTAAACTAACCACTCACACACCTATGACACAGCCTTCTGGAGGACAGCCAGCTCTTCCTCTGAGCCACAGCCACTATCTTTGTGATGGTGCCTGTGTTCCTTGGTCGAATTTGTATTAAAATCATACTTTTCTTACCTATTTCTCCACACAAAATTGCTTGGTAAATGAAGTATCCTTTAAATTTTCTCTGTCACCACCGCTGTGGTTGTGTCTCTCAGTCAGGACAGCTCTTATACCCGTCTGTTCAGTGATAAGACACTTATCTAATCCTAGGAACAAAATGAACATCAGTCTTACGCACATAGACTGAACACTCATGAGGGCATACTTAGACAAGAGTAAACAAGTGTTATCAGTCATCATGCGAAACATTTTTACATGGCAGGCTTGATACTCAGATAGCAGCAGGTGGTGTCTGTCTTTCACAGTGCAGTGTACAGTCAAAATGTTTCACTGACACCTGTGCAACGTTTTATCATCGGCCTGCAGGGGTCAGACGCAAGGCTGCAGACAATGACGCACACAAACCCATAATTATGTGTGATCTCTCAGATCTATCTGATTACTTTGAGTAGCTGGCACACTGACGCTCCCCTTTGTTCATAGACAGGCTATTCTCCTTGCTATAACCTACTCCTTCTAGCCTCACCTTTGAGTTATTTAGAAACCCCTGTTGCATAATCATTTTAGTCTTAAGGTGTTTGAATTTCAAGTGAATGAGAGTACTTACAGCTCGAAACAATATCCTGTACTTAAATTTTAACTTTATTGTCCCAAAAGATGTGTCATTAAACACACACACACACACACACACACACACACACACACACACACACACACACA